TAGGCTGAAGATGGATGCTCCAATGTTACACAAGAACTTTGGGTGACTGTCCAGGCAGCAAGATCTCTGTCAGTTCTAGAGTTTTTGAAGTTGTTTACAATGCACTTCCTCTTAACTTAGGTAGTATTATATCCTGGGATCTTTGATGGAGTTGAAGAATAGTTATAATTATAGTTTTCTTTAGTTATGATGAAAGATAGATATAAATATTGTAACTATAATTGTTGCTTGATAACTGCCTTGTTATATGTTATCTTGCTTTGTTAAAATTAAAACCTTCCTTTTTATTTAAACAGAAAAGGGGAAATGGTGTGGAAAGTCCTTCTGTCTATGTGTTGCTTTTATTGGTTAATCAATAAATCTGTTTTGGCCAGTGGCTTAGCAGAATAGGGCAAGACTAGAGTTCCAAGAAAAGAGAGGAGAGAGGAGGCAGAGTCAGGGAGATGCCATGGAGCCGCCAGAGGGGAAAGACGTGAGCGGCCAGCTGGAACCTTGCCCATAGGCCACAAACCTCATGGTAAAATATAAAATAATAGAAATAGGTTAACCAAGGATATAAAAGCTAGCTAGCAATACACTTAAGTGATTGGCCAAGCAATAGTTTAAATAATACAGTTTCCAGGTGATTATTCTCAGGAGTCTGTGTGGCTGGGAATGAACAAGCGGCCTCCAACAACATTATCCCATGGTTAAGTGACTGTGAATGGTGAAGGACTGCCTGTTGCCAGGGCACAGTTGTTGGAGGTTGGACAGGTTAAAGACTACCACCATTTCACAAGGAGGTAGGCAGATCCACACTGTGTCTGGGATGCTTCTGTATTTGGAAGTCATGTTCCTTGTGACTGGGGTATGACGGAGTCAGCAAACCATATGGAACCTGAAATTTCTAAGGAGGCGAGACAGAGAACTGTGAAGTCCAATTGTAGGAAATATATAATATACAGTGAAGAAATGGAAACAGGAAGATTCTGTAGTACTGACATAGACCATGCTAGATGTTGATCTTTTCCCTCAATTATGCAATAAGTAATAAAGGGTTCAATTATAGAATTAAATAAAAAACAAAACATATGAGGTTAATTATCTACTGGACAGACATTACTTACAGAGAATGACTCAAAGCCCTCAATTAACTTAATGCTAACGGGAACTGCTTGGCCAAAGTAAAACGTAACCGTGATGCGAAGAATGGCATGCAGACTATTAGAGATACTAAGATAATAAGCAAGCAAAACACAGTAGGTTGACTAGGGGCTTTAAAGGAACTTATAAAGGGAAGCGACCCCTTATGTAGTGGAGAAGAGTCCCACCCTTTAGGAAGTGAGTCCGGTCCCATTGCTTAGCAGGGTGTTAAACACACATATTCCTTTTTATGTTTCACACTTTATTGAAGTTTTAATAGAAATTATAATAACGTGCCAGAGAAATAAACGCCAAGGAGCTGCGACCAAGGGATGAACTGGATGCGGAGGAGTAGCCGCTTCTTGTGGGCGATGCGGTGGCTAATGCCACGTGTCCACTTCACTCAGCTAAGGGGAACCTGGTAGCAAAACGTTCCTCCTGGGTGTGGTTGTGAAGTCTTTAGGGGTTTTGGGTTCCCCTACCTGCTGGCTGTCACTCAAGGGATCTTATTTTTTTGTGATTATATTTTTTAATGAGATGCTATTTCCTTCTAGAATTCTAGTTGAGAACAAGGATCCATCTTCCAGGTGGAATCAGCTTTTAGTCTCGGCAGGCACCTGTGGACCTCATCCCTCCTTTAAGCTAAATTCTTAAATTGGGTTTTACTGATTTCCCGGATAGTAGGGTTAAGGACAGCGGACAAGCAAAAGGTCTAGGTTTTCAAAATTTCTCACCTCCTCAGTTCAATTCCAAGTTGTATTTTTTTTGCAGTTCCCCTGAAGATGAGAAAGCAGGATTTTTCTTGTTCAACATTCAAATAACATGGCTAGAATCCCAACTGTAACTGAATATGTCTCCTATCCAAATCTCTCCCTTGCACGAATAGCAGGCATTAAATTTAAGACCATGCAATGACCTTAGCAAATAACTTGAATCAAAAGCCAGGTGATGAAGCAGGTGGTGACCTCCAACAGCAGCATTCACAAGGTCTCAGGCAGGAGGATCAGAAGTTCCAGACCAGCCTGGGCTGTAATACGGCGAGATCTAGCTTCCTCGTTCGTTTTATGCTGCTGTAATAAAACGCTGACCAAAAGCAACCTGAGGAAATCATGGGTTTGCCCTACACTTCCGTGTCACAGCCCATCATTGAGGGACAACAAAGCAAGGACCCAAGGCAGGAATCTGGAGCAGAAGCCAAAGCAGAGACCATGCAGAAACACTGCTTCCTGACGTGCTGCCCAGGCCTGTTTAGCTACCTTTCCTATATGCCCCAGTCCTACCTGCCTAAGACTGGCATTGCCCACAGAGGTCTGATCCCTCTCTACAGCAATTAGAAACAAGAAAATGCCCCCCACAGATATATGCTCACAGGTCGATCTGCTAGACAATTCCTTCAGTAAGTTCCCTCTTCACAGATGACTCCATTGTGTCAAACAGACAAACACCAAAACACATTCATTGCATTAAAAAAAAAAGTGCCAGCTGTTGGTTATTAGTTCTATTTACTTCTCATCTGCCTTTATGTTTTTTTTAACATCTTATGCATGTATTTAGGAATTTTTAACATATTTATCAGATACAGCTTGCTATTTCAGTGAGACGAGATTCAAAGTCCATCCTACGCGTTAACGCTAAGATGCCTTGATGAAGTTCCATCTCAACGTCCTAGGCCTGTGTCTGTCAGGTCACTGCTTCCCCTTACTTGATCTTAGAAAGAGAAAAACCCATTCGCCTGGCTTGAATTTGTGTTCTAGGATCTAGCTTCATTTATTCATTTGAATTTTTGCAATGCAAGATTCAAACTTGGGTTTGTTTTCTTCAATAGCTAATTGTTGTCTTTGCACTCCATAGGAGGCAATTTGCTCCTGTTTAATGCCATTATCTGCTCAGCTCTCATAGTCACTGTCTATTCCTGGGCTACACACACAAGTTCATTGATCCATCCGGGAACTCTTGCAACACAGCATTGCGTTAGTGACTCCCCACGTTCACGGTGCTTCACCCTTTCCTATTCTTTCACTGAGGTTTTTTGGTTTGTTTTTGTTCTTGGTTTTTTTTTCTGCCTTGGTAAAAAAAAATCTCAATATGTTCCTAAATTCACACACAGTTCAAGGGTTTGAGCCGAGAACTCACGAAAGCTCATGGCTGAATTTGACAAGAGTTGACGCTGGACTTGATCAGAAAGGAGCTATAATTTTGATTTCATAACAATCCATCGAGGAGTCATTTTGTACAATCCCTATGAAAAGTTAACCCCTTGGCTCTTGCTTTTGTGGTCACTTCTAAGTAGCACAGAGTGCTGGGGTCCTCGTGTCACAAAACAGTCTCATCTCCAAAAGTAAACTATAGTTTCTGGCACAGAGTACACCCCTGTCTGCGTGCACAGAACTTCACCATGACCCAGGCCAGGGCCTGCTGCAAGTCAGCAGGGCAGAAAAGCGTTCCCATGCTACCTGACCCTTTCCTTCTGCATGAATTCACTACTGGGCTCCCAAGAATGATCGGAAGGAGCAGAGGGAGAAGCGGGATTCTATCCTCCTGGCCTCTTGAGTTCTGAGCTTAGGAAATGCTTCTAACCTGTGTTTTCTCTGATCAGATAAAGCCTGGACACTCTGAACTGTCTCTAGGATCTCCTTTGTGAGCAGTATGTAGATTCCTGGGTAGCCTATTGCTCCTGTCACTTTGAAGAACCCAGTGCCTGCAGCCTATCTTCATGTGGGTCAATTTGCCCACAGGATGACCCCTTTGAACAAGCCCGTAGATTGCTTCACCTTCATTTTTACACATGGCACCTCTCTTAGTCCAGAAAATCTGACATACTCCAAAAGTCCTGCCCTAGCAAACCAATCACCTTGTCGTCACCTAGCCACCCACACGAGGCTAGCCCATTTCTTCCCTTTACCCAAAGGTCCAGCCCACAATAAGAATGGCGGCAACACACAGCAGTTTGCTACATGGCTTTTTGTGACATGCCTTTGTTCTTCTATATGTAAGTTCACAGCCAAGTTTTCAAGAATTTCTAAAAAGTAAAAAAGTCAATTAAAAATGGACAGATCATCTCAAAGATAGAAATTCTCAATAAATATATGAAAAATGCTTAATTTCATCTACTATCAGAGAAATGTATATTGTGTGTGTGTGTGTCCCTCTGGACCCCACTAGTATGTTCAATTAATATATAGTAAAGTGGATCCTATGCGGCCCTCCTGGCTCATTTGTATGCATGACTGGGTGAGAAGCCCCAGGGTCATCTAAGCAGCTGTAATGAAACTGGCCATTTCAGACCTGGTCCAGGTTCCTGGTGAATTGGATAGCACCTATTGGCAAGATGCCTTAACTAGAAACTTGAGAGTCCCTTTTGGAACGTATGTTAGGAAAGGCCGGGAAATAAGGCAATGGTAGTGACAATCTGCAGAGGGGTGCACTGGATTCATGGACTGGCACACAGATTTATAAAAAGAAACCCAGGCTCTCAGCACCGCGGTCTCACACATTCCCTGAAAGAGCACCCTTCTGAGGACTTCTGTCTTCATTCAACCCTGCCCAGTCTAGCTAGCCAATTATGTCCTTTCCCTATGCAACCTACTTCCTGTCCCCCCTCCTGCAGATGACCAACCTATAGCCCCATATTTGTCCAGACATCAGGTAAACCTTCCTCCTGAATTCATTGCCTCTGGAAAACATCTTCCAGGCCTCTCTTTGAGCCTGTATCCCTTTCCATCACCAAATGATCCTGTCAATGACTCAGTTCCCCCGTGTGACCAGCCACGGGGCCACTTCCAGACAACATGCAGGGCAGGACCACATCCTGTCAAACAGCAAAGGTGTGTGAAGTCTCTGGGCTTCTGGGGACCTGATCATCTCCTCCAGACTGGATTGTCCAGCTGCATAGACTTCTGGGGCGACCAGAAAGATGGCAAGCGTATCCCTACACCTCCAGGCCCGGGGGCAGGGAAATCAGCTTTAGAGATGGACTCCACAAGTACCAGCCATCCCTCATCCATTTCATAATGGTAAGTAGAATGTGTTTTGAAAGTCCAGAGTTCTGAAGCTAGCCTCAGAACAATAAAGGAAGTTAAACACTTGCCATAAGGTACCTTTCTTATATTTAGAGTCAGGTTGACCATTTATGAAATATAGGTGTCTTGGGGTAACCAGAACTTAGGCTAATCTGTGACAACAGGACACGGAACATGATTTCTCCCCAGCCTCTGGCTCATCATTCCACTCCGAAATACCCTAAATTTCTTTGCTTCATCATCTTTAGCATGCCAGTGAGACACAATACACACTGGCATGGAACTGAAAGAGAGGGCCCAGGCTGTGAATTCTCGAGCCCCCTTCAGCATCTTCTGGAGTCAGAAGTTCGGAGTTGGGGATGCTCATCTGTCTCCCTTCGTGTAGAACATTGTGGCTCGACATTCGGGACGCTTCCTTCTACTTCCTGTTGTTTCTGCTTCTTGAGGCTGTGAAGAGCGTTAACAGAGCAGAGAAAGTCTTGCCCAGCTATGCTTATGGGGGACCCCTCCCTTTTCCAGACAGCTCCAGATGGGCTTGCACTGGGGTTTTAAAGTTAATGTCAACTCAGAGTTGCTGTCTCTCCTCTCACCCAAAGGATGAGAAGTGCTGAGCACACATTAATGAGTAATAAACAAGGTTGCTTCTCCTAAGATGGACATACAGACAGACAATAGCTGGGAGTAGGGGGTGGGGCAAAGATGGGAGCCTGGGAATGAAGCCCTACAGTGTCCTAGCACAAACTTGCCTCCTTGACTGCTCATGTCTTCTCTTCTCACCCTGGGAATATTTTCCAGGCACACATTTGCAAACATGTTTTTCTTCTAAAGCAAACACATTTTTTAAATAGCCCAGGTTTTCTTAGTGTCCTGTGGTCATGAGACTCAAGTCACTTCTGTGAGGCACATGTGCCTGGTGACTCAAGGGTCCCCCTAGAGGCTGAGGCAAGTTCTGCCAGTTGGCTTATCCCAAATCATGAGACATTTAACTTTCGAGGAGACACCCTACCTCAACACCGGTCCTAAACATGTTTTTTGCAAACAATAGAAACTATGGGAACAGAGATCGTGGCAGCCTCAAGGTACAAGTGTGTAGGTTCCTCAGGATCACCAAGATCCAGGGAGTCATGCAACACCCCCTGGGAACAGGCTTGGAACCACTACCCCTGGAAGCGTCTTCACCCCTGCGTAGCTTTTCTGTGTCCCTCCTGTCTCCACCCCACTTCTATCTTCTCCTGGCAGAAACCTGGGTCAACATTTTCTTAGGATCTCAAATCATATCTGTATTGAAAATGGTAAAGCCAACAGTGCTTTCTACTGCATTCCAAATTAAAAGAGAGACACACACACAAACCAAGAGCAACCATGGTAAACCCAACACCAATTAGGAATTTCTTCCAGTGCATAGCGCTAACTCAGTTAGAAAACCCATAGCTGGGACATTTTTTTATTCGAGTCACATAACGTAAAATTTGTCTCCTTTTAAAAATAATAGAAATAGATTGTAGCCCTCACTCTTTAGTGCCACCTCATGAGGAAATCCTGACCCATCCAAACACCACCTTAGCTATTGGGCAGCTGCCCTAAAGTGGCTACATCAATCATCCCCCAAGCCACATTACATTTGAAGACCAAGATCCCCAGAAACAAGAGCCCCTGGGAGTTGGGCGGACAGAGACCGTAGCCCAGGAATAGAGTCCCTAGTCATAAAATATCAAGGGAGGGAAACGCACACGCAAACTTTAAATGCAGCTTGTGGTGAAGACTGTAGCTTGCAAAACACATAGACCAACACAAATGTAGGTTTGGGGGACCATCTCACAGTGATATCTAAACACCTTCCAGGGAGTCATCCAGAGCTATCTGATCTAACTCCAGCCATAGAAACAACCACCCATGTGCATTGACAAATTCAGCGCTTAAGCATATTTCTGGGCCAGGGGTTAAGAGAAGACAGACAGGCAGACAGACACACACACAGTTTCGATAAACAGAGTCATCTGTGCAAATCCTGAGAACTAAAGACACAGGGGTTGAGCATCATCTGAGCTTGCTTTGACTACACTGATAGACTCCAAATACACAAAACCATGATAACTGCAAAGCCAATCATCAAACTTTTGAGCTTTCATACTACAAAGTAAACATTTGCATCGCTTTCAGAATGTCTTATGTTAGACCCCAAATTCCCAACGTGACAGCCCAGAAGATGGGACTTTAGGGAGGTGATCTGAGAGCGAAGATGCTGCCCTCATCAAAGGGATTAGTAGCCCTATCAAAGCAGCCATGAGAGAGATGGACTCACTCTGCCATGAATACAGGATGGTGGCAAGCTAATAAAAGCCAGGGAACCAGACACCAAGGTTCCAAAACTGCTGGCCCCTTGACCTTGTGTTTTCCAGCCTCTGGCACATAAAAATAAATAAATGTCTGTTGTTTAAACAACTCCGTTATTCTTCTGACAGCAGTCTAAGCAGAATAAAACAAACTGATTGCAAGAAATGGGATGCTGTGGGAACAAAGATCTAAAAACCGCAGACCCGGCTTCGGGATGAGATGAGAGAGGCAAGAAAGGCTCGGAGCAGTGTGTGAGATGGACAGAGCCTTGCATCAGGACCATTTCAGGGGAATTCTGGTGAGGGCTCAGTCATAGATGAGGAGAACTATAGAGAAAGCTCTGATCTTCTTTGAAAATGGGCCCATAGCCCTGACCAGAATGCTGGTGGGAATGGATGACAAAGCCCGTTCTGATGGTGAATGGCTGGCAAAACCCATTCTGATGGTCTTTCAGGAGGATATGAGCACCTCGCTGTTGAATGAAGGGTAAGAAGCCATCAGTATGACAACATGGCAAAGGCCTGACTAGTTGTGTTTGCATTCTAGTTCCTGTGAGAGGTGGGGCTTGAATGCCAATGAGCTGGCTATTCACCTGAGGACATCTTCAATGTGTTGAAGGGCAGCTTGCTTCCCCTTGACTGCCTGTGGTTGCAAGAAGAGGGAGAAATGAGTTAAAGAGGAAATTCTGAGACAAGAAGAAACCAGAACATAAAGGTTTGGGTGTTCCGAGCCTTTCCACGTCACAGAAAGGGAAAGAGCATGCTCGGAAGACACCAAAGACTTCCTGTTTAACCCCTCTGATGGAGTTCAGAGCTGAGGACGGGCCTTTTCAGTACCCACACAGCCTCTGGGGTGTGAGAGAGAAATGACCAGGGCATTTCTGAGCCAGTTGCTTCATGATTTACTCTTTACGCACTGACCCGGAAATGGTACCTCTGTGAGGTAAAACCACTTACTTGCAAGCTATATTTACAAAGGTACATCCATGAGCTACACATCGGTGAACTGGGAGGGAGAGCGGGGAAGAACCTCCACAGAAAGAAAGGTTACTTACCTTCACCGAGACCGAAGGTGGAGCTTAAGGTGAGATGCTCCATAGTCTCAAGCTTGCCTTTTTCACCACGACTTAAAAGAACATAGAGATTCATCATGCAGACATCTCCTGGCAGACCTGAGGCTTTGGAAATAACAGTGCTTCCTAGGTGGCTGAACACAGTCCGATAGGGCAGAGAACATGGGAAGACCTTTGGAAGAGAGTGAGTGGTACTCCGCTCTACCGCGCCTTCATCCCTGCCTCTGCATGATGCTGCAGTTAACGGAGGCAGTCTCGGGGCTGGCAAACAGTGATGTGTCTCTATTGCTCAGGACCCAACAGGAAACAGCCAGGCTTCCATCAGCACTTGGGGTGAAGCTCATCCTGTGTCTGGGTTCTCCGTCACGGCTTTGTGCCGTCCCAATAATCTCCAATTTCAAACGTGCTACAAAGTCTAACTGCAACTGTCTGTCCCCTTATCTTATGTTCGCTTACTTTACTCAGGGCTAATGTCACCTGTTCTTCCAAAGCAGTGTAAGACCAATCCAGAAACAAAATTTCCTTTTCAAGTTACTGCCATGGTGTTAAGCACATAGGCTCACCTGGGAAGTACTAGATACTTTGTAACTTGATGTCTTCCTTCCACAAAACACAAGAATCCTTCCACTGTGGCTTCCTGAGAAGGGCACTTTCAGGTGGGTCCGGACCCGCCCCACCACAGAGGCTCTGCCGAAAGAGAGGAAAGGGAGAGAAAGCAGTAGCACACCTCTCCTGTCCACATCCACCTTCATTCTTCTCCCCGTCCTCAAGCGAGTCCAGCTTCCCTGATCTTCGTGACCTCTGTGGCTTGGGCGTCCTAAACCTTCCTCATGATTGCTACTGCCAGCATTCAGTCTTTCGGCACACGGAAGCATTGTCTTCAGAGTATGCCCTCGGGGACCCAGTCTGCCTCTCTGCTCAAGCCCTTTGCTTTCTCTATAGTTTATCTTGTCTTCCATTTCCCTTCCCGTACAATTGCAAAAATCACTTGACTTAAGAAAATATTTCCATGGACGCTGTTAAAAGTATTCGCGAACTCTTTTTGCCATATAGTGGCGTGGGCAAGGAGAGATGTTGGCAGTTGTCAGAGCTGGCCCTGGGGTCCTAAGAGCAGGAGAGCTGTCCCTGTCCCTCGCCAGCTGCAGGACTCAGGAGAGTGGTCCCTCTGCACCTCCCCTGGGCAGCACAGTAGAGCTGGCCCTGGTGGTGTAGGTGCAGGTGAGCTGACCCTGAGGATGTGAAACCAGAGACCAGGCCCCACTCCTTGTTCCTTGCTGCATGGGGTGAACTAGCTGGGGCAGTGCTGGACAGCTCACCCTGGGGGTGAGGAGTGGTGGGGGACTGGCAGGATGACCAAGCCTACAGCCACCCAGGCTGTGAGCCAGGGTTATGAGTTGGCCCACCCCCAACACCCACCCGATCTGTGATCCTGCTGTAGCACGTGAAGGGGGCCGTCCTGCAGACCCAAAGCTACAGGACCTCCAAAACATAGGGCATCAACAGAATATCTAAAAGGAGCCCCAGTGAGAGCCCAGTATCAGTAGTGTAGCAGAAACCAGAGGCCTCGAATCCAACCAACAACTCTTTGCAATGAACACTTGCAAGTAGAGATATGTGGACTAAAGGGTACACTGTGTGACTATGTCACACTACAGCTTCCATGATGAGATTTTTTTCTTTTTTTCTATTAAAGTTTATTTTATTTGGGGGGGGTTTGCAAGGGCAGAGGGTCGGGGGCAGAGGGCAGACAAATGAACGGGGAGATAAATGTAACGGAAATGCAGGAACGATGTGAAAGACACTAAGAATAAATACAAAGCAGGTGTCAACCAAACTTCATTTCGAATGTAAATTCCTACCCTTCCTGGTCTTTCCTTCTTGAAGGAAATGGACCCCCGTCTCTTCCCATCCCCTTTCCTTAAAGAGGATCCCCCCCTCCTCACCCTCTCACCTGAAGGCCATCAGAGAAGTGGACCATCTCTCTATGGCTTCCTTCAATCCCTTAAGTACAGCTGAGAAATGTCTGTCAGGTTGGGACCTGACTATGGCCAGCTGCGGAAAATGTCTTCACCAACTGGCTGACTCTGTCTCTCTAAATTTCCTCACAGTCACCAAGACCATATCACACAGAAGACATGGCAATATTTTGTTTGGAATCTAACAAATAAAGCTTGTCTGACGATCAGAGTGCAGCGCTAAGCCACTAGTTAGCCATAGAGGCCAGGCAGTGGTGGCACACGCCTTTAATATCAGCACTCTGGAGACAGAGGCAGGCAGATCTCTCTGAGTTCAAGGCCACCCTGAGCTACATGAAATTGAATCTGTCTAAAAGGGAAACAGACCTCACACAAAGGAAATTCCAGCACTTGGGATCGCATGCCTTTAATCCCAGCACTAGGGAATTGGAGACAGGAGGGGTATGGCTGGGCTGAGAGAGGAATATAAGGTGGGAGGAGACAGGAGCTCAGATGCAGTCTGAGGATGCATTCTGGAGATACAATCTGAGAATTCAATCTAAAATTTGCCGTCTGAAATTTGTAGAGAAATATTCAGTCTAAGGATTCGTAGAAACAGGATCACCCCCTCTGAGCACTGATAGATGTAGGACCTCTCCAGTGGCTGCGGCTCTGCTTCTCCGATCCTTAAGCTTTCACCCCCTAATATCTGACTCTGAGTTTTTATTATGAAGACCAAATAGGATTCGGACCACAGTTCTGAAGCTCTAGAGATTCACTGTGGGCCTCTGGGTTCGGCACTGACCGTGCCAGCTTTATCGGATCCTGCAGATGCAGGCTTCTCATCAAACAATGGCAGACCACACTCTTAATCCCAGCACTCGGGAGGCAGAAGGAGAGATGCATGGATCTGTGTGAGGCCAGCCTAGTCTACATGGCAAGTTCCAGGCCAGCCAAGGCTACATAGTGAGACTCTGTCTTAAAAAAACAAAAAACATAAAAAGAAATAGATAAAATGTAGTTGATTGATGCTCTACTGTCCAGCGGGGGTGGGGGCAGCGCCTTTTTGCCCTTCTCCTCAGAACAAAGCTGTTTTGGACTTCGGCCATTTTAGCACTAGTGCCGGTGTATATGACACCTGTTCACTCTGAATCCCGCAGGCTCCTTCACAACAGGGGGTCCACCAGGCTGTACTACCCTGGGACATCTCCCTACACTGTCCTTCAACCCGTCAAATATTTATTGAAGAGATGCTGGTGGAAACACCACATTTCTGAGCAGCCAGAGATATGCATACCTGGCTCTTTTGGTTCTACAACTCACTGAGGACTTGATGAACATTCCCCATGACCTCCCCCAGAAAGGGTCTCCAGAGAGGGATGGTTTCTACCCAACGCAAGTTTTAAAACAGCCTCCCCGCACTAAAATCACCTCTGGATTTTCACTTTTGCAAAAGCCTGGAGTTGCATCATCACCTTCGAAGGCAGTCTGGCTATGGCCCGACTTCAGGCTCATCTTCGTTCCCTTGGGCTGCGAGTCACAGCACCTAGACCTTTTCCTCTCACGCGGCCTCCGCCTACCACCTCTCCCAGACAGACATGTTCCTTCCCATCGTGTGAAACGGAGCAACCAAATGTATCGCACGCACAACACGGAGAGAGAATGACTTAGTTCTTCCTCACTGGACAACTTTAGGGCGTCTCTGCCCGACGAAAGAGCAGCAGGGTCATGACATGGGGACCCCACACTCGCTCAGGGTTTCCATCTGGGGAGGCACTGATGCCCACAGTATCCTCGGACAGCCTTAAGGAAAAATCACTTTCGACCAAGAACCTAGCCATACCCCAAACATCTTTTATTCCCAATCCAGCTGCTCAGCACTCTGCCTCCTCAGCTCAACAAAGCTCTCTGTGACTTAAAGTCAGACCCCCTGCCTCCTGTTGCTCCTACTCTTTCCTCCCTTCGAGGCCTTAATCGTCCTTTTTAAGACATGTTTGGCCGTCTCAGGGTCATCAGTTTTATTCATGCAAGTCTCATCCCCACCCCAAGCTCCTGTCCCCACCCATGAGAGTTGCTGCAAAAGAAAAACATCTGTGGCTTTTTGGCTCCTGGTTCTGTATCCTTCTCATCCCAATAACCATACTTGGGAAACAGTTTCTTCAAATGCTCCTGATGTATAACCCTGAATGGAATTTTATCAGTGCTTTTATTTTTTTTTAACTTTACATGTAAGACTTTATACACAACATGAGGTCACGGTAATAGGAGATGTGGTTGGTGCCCAAAAGAACTGTGCCATATAAATAGGCAATACCTATTGAAATCATGGCACTATCAAGGAGCATTTGTGTCATACCCAGCTTTCCTCAGTCACACCCCAAAGGGGCTTGGAAAGTCTGAGCTCTCCCTTTCCCCCACCTGCTACCCACAGTCGCAGCCGGGGCCTCAAGCCTACTCCTTTGCCGACTGGATTGCCTCTATGTGGGGAAGGAGGAAAGTCATTTCAAGGGACTTCTAACTAGGATCTGTCTGGAATGACCATGACCAACTTATGGATCCAGAGATTAAAGGCAGCCCTCCTGGCTTGAGCTGTCTCACGCCTCGCCGGGTGCAGGACGGGCCACCTCTGCCTGTCACGGAGGGTTTACCCACAGCCCACACTGGCCCTTTTGAAGCTTCTCTCAGATTGCCTGTACACATTCATTTGTCTCAGGACCTTTGGAATACTCAGGTAATTCTAAAGCCTGGCAATTGGGCCTCAGAAAGCCCCTGAGAGGCCTACTGTTGACAGTAGCAGCCATAGGCCTGGTCAGCACACTCCTTCCTAAAGACACCTAGGCCTTTCTTCCATCTGTTCTACCTTATTCCATCTTCTCCTTCCTTTTGACCTTTTTTTTAAAACAAGTATGTAGTCTTGCCTTTTTATTTCTCTAAGAAACAAAACTCTGCCAGGAAAACAAAAGCTTCTGACTATCTCAGGCCCACAAGTCCCCTGTACTAGACTCTTTGGAGCCTGACAGAGCTGGATATGCCCCCACTATGAACTACTTCCTCCTCTCCTCATTTTCTGCCTTCCATCTACTGTCAGCCTGCATTCCACACACGTCCAGTTCCTGTTTTCTTCCCAGAGCTCCGCTTCTTGGTCTCCACTCTGCCAGCCCAGGCCATTCGCAGCTCCCGTGTCCTTGATGGTGCACCTCCCGGGCTTACACCCTCCCCAGTCTGAATTCTGAGAGAAACAGACTGCTCCCGGGCTTTTAACTTCCTCGGGTTGCCAAGTCTGCTTCTATCAAATGCTCTTCTCACCTCCACCAGATCTACAAAGATTGGACAGAGCCACCAACGGGCCTTCTTGTCCCCAGAGGATAAGAGAAACCCTACCACTTTGCAGAAGCCAACCTCTCCCTATCTCTCACAGGCCGAGTGAGGAGTGGTGAAAAAAAAAAAAAAAGGCAGTCTATTTCCTGGATGTGATATAAATGCCATGGGATTCCTGCTGCCTTCCCGGCTTTCTTACACTTCCTCCTTTGAGAGTCCCTCTTCCTTTGCCCCATCCCCAAAGCACCTCCTTTTTTTCTGTGTATGTCCCAGTAGGCTCATCTGGGCCTGTGACCTAATTATACACAAAAGCGAAGTGATGCCCCAATCCCTGTAGTCGTCCTGGATGGCCCCTTCCTATAAGCTCTATCCCTTAATAGCAAAGAGGTCAAAGGCAACATGCCCAAGTCAGGACTGTGCCTCCCAGGCTAGTTCAAATCTGGTGTCTGCTTTCCTGTGAACAGAGATCTTTAACTCCATGGCCTGCCTGGTGACATGTTATTTCTTCCCCAGGCATCTCCCCTGTTCCACAGACCTCAAGGGCAACCTCCACTTCTGCCTTCTCCCGGCAGCTACTGTCTACCCTGTAGCAGGGAAGTGGAAATGCGATCATAAAATCCCCTTCTGCTTACAATCATTCAACAGCACCCAAGTCTTCTAGGATCAAAAGGAAAACTCTGAATTCAGTCTGGAAGTTTCCACGGCTTCTTAGCTCCTTTTCTGCACCAGAAGCTGGCACCGTTATCACACGTACGCATTCCAGTCAGGACCTGCTTCACGTTTGTGCCCTTTTACCCTGCCTGGCTGTCACAAAGAGATCTCTCCAAGGATAGAGAGTCCACTGCTATTTTCATGACCCGTTTGTATTTCCAGCACCTAGATAAGGCCTGGCACCTAAGTGTCCAATGGTAAATGAATGCGAAAAGAAGGAAGTACACCCTGTCTAAGAGGAAAAGTGACCAGGATAAGAATTGAAACTCAAAAACAGCCCTTGGAAGTCTCTAGCATCCGGGTATTAGACATCTGGGCTTTGTTAAAGACATAACAAGGAAGGGGCCCAATTTTCCCAAGAGCAACAGAAACTCAAGAGAACTGAGTATGCCTAAGCTGTGGGGGAGGGGTGTTTTTGAGTGCTAAACATTCAGGGAAATGTCATGGTAAATGACATATTTCCAGTGTCTGAGACGTTAGCATTGCCTTCACACTTCCAAGAACAGAAGCCAGTATAGCCTTGAAGTGGAAGTTGCTTTGGGGCACCTGCAGCCTGAGATCAAGAGCTGCCCAGGCAGGTGGGTCAAGTGAGGTCACAGAAAGCCTTTTGGTTCACAACTTTCCTCAGCTGGCTCTGCCAATGTATCCAGAGGTTTCTTCTCAACTAAGAGCACCCAGTAAACAAATTGTAACGCTATCACAGAGAGGTCATGTACAGCAAGAACTGTTTGAGATTTCAGTTAGAAAATCTAACAGTCAAGTCCTTTGGAAGGATTATAGGACACTAAAGGTTGAGCCCATTAGGAAGGTGGCACCGGAACCCTATCCTGGGGGGGTCTGTGGCTCCCTCTGGTGCCCTAGTGCCAGGACACCAACCCCTGAGAATGTTAAAGGTGGAACATTCTGGTGGCAGTTGAAAGTATCAGTTGAATCTGAGGCCCAGAGCAGAGGGAGCAGACAGGATGTCGAGAGCAGGAGAGGCTTCCTGACACCCTACAGGGAACCCACAGTCAGGAAACACAAGGCTGGAGAGGAAGTTTGCTAAGGAGAAAGGAGAGCAACGATATGGGGGCTCAGAACCTGTGAGAAGGAACAGGAGGGTACGGAGTACCAAGGGGTTGAAGACCCAAACGAACCAACAGGCCTGAATACAAACTAGTCACTCTATGTGACTCTGCTGGGAGCCCAGCCTGGAGTGGAGCACCTCAGACAACAAGTTGTTTCCAAGTTGGCCTCGGTCTAGAGATGTGGGCTTTGCAAAGGCTGTTCTTTGGGAATCGTATAGCATCCAGTCCAGATAGACCCTCTTTGTAGGTACAAATTAGAAAGCCGCTTCAAATACTAGCACCATTTCTTCATTCATTCAACAAATACTTGTTGAGCGCCTCTTATGGGCTATGAGAAATATTGCAGGCAAAGGGAGTAGTCGTTCTTGCCTGAATGAGGCCTAACTGGATTGGTGTTTGAAGAGGCAGTCCACACTCTGTGAGGACAAAAAATCTTGGTCTAGTTTAGGTGTTCTCCATGAACTATGGAGATGAAATCTGAAAGATGGGTGAGAATTTTACCTAGTTGAGATGGGAAAACGGAACAGGGTTCTAGGCAGAAGGAGGCTCATTAGCCATGCCTACAAGCAGAGGGGCTGTGGCATATTCAAAATGCTAACAGCAAGGCGAGGTGTATACAGACATGAACCAAATTACACGCGGTCCTGGCGTTCTTGTCAAATGCTACATTTGGAGTTCAAACTTGAATTCTTCTTGTCTGGTTGCTGAAGGCGAAGCCATAAGTAAGCCATGGCAAAGCTGTAGCTTAGAACATAGTTTATATATATCTTAGGATGGTGGGCATGTGTGTAATTCATGAGTAATGCTGAGTCTCAGAGGACTCTGGAGTCGTGTACTCTGTCACTTAAGAAGGAATCTGTGCTCTTGACTTCAGCATCAGTTATGGAGAAGATACATCAGGCATCTCAAACAAGGAAACTTACAAAGATTAAATTGTGGCTCCGTCACTGGCAGAGCTACTAGCTCAGATTGTATATTGTCAAAAGCAAGGTTCACTCTGCAAACCAAATATATATGGGTGTAGCAGAGATGAACTGTCATCCCATTTATAATAGAGGAATGAAGACTTAGAAGAGGCATATGACTGTCCAAAAGCCACAGAATGAGCGAAAGAGAATAAAGGCTAGAAACTGTCTTCGGCTTCACCTTAATGCTTCTCTCTAAATACCAGGGGCCTGACAATGTTTGGTACCAGTGCTCGTTAGGCAGGTGAAATGAGGTAGCTTTCCTTACTCTTCTACAAAATGTTATGTCTACAAGCCTGTTACAAGAGTCCAGTTGGAGTCTGCCACTGAATGCATTAAATACTAGATGGACTACTGATCCCCAAACTTTAAAGTGAATTACTCAAGGCAAAGGGTGTCTCTGGGTCCTAAAAAGTAAAGGCAAGTGTAGCTGGAGAGAGGAGAGCACTGGGAGCGCTGGGAGGTGTAAGTTTATCCAAGAGCCAGTTAGAGATGCAGTATTACAATACAGAACTTGAAAAGCTGTGGGTGAAATCTGTCTGAACACATGCCACGAGTGTCAGAGGACTGGTGTCCTGACCACCCTAGACTTCAGAAGGAACACAGCCTATTCAAGCCTTGTGGGAACAGTTGAATAGGGGAGGTGGGAGAAATAATTACCGATGTTTGGGGGCGGGAGAAGAAGGTGTGCCATGTCATGAAGCTCTACTCTTTGCCTTGGGGTCCCCCACCTGCTGCTCCCCATCGGCTATCTCAGACATGTCTCAGCAAGTAGTTCAGACCCTGTCACCTGTGAGAGCCCCCCCCACCCCAGGAAAGCCATGACAAGATCCCTAGAGATTTCCCCTGCCCTGGTCCCCCAGAGCCCCATATTAGGATCAGGGTCCTTGTTCTCTGAGATTGACAGCTTCACCCCGTCTACTCCCGAGGCCCAATCACTGTGCCTTTTTCCTCTTTCTTCCAAACTTTCAGCTCCTTTTTTCCCCAGCCGCCTCATACCAGACACTATGAGGTCCCAAGACACAGAGACTACATGTATGTATCATGTGTCCATTCATATGCCACATCTCAGCTACCCAAAGTTCCCCGCGCAAGGCCTTTCCCCGCCTGGGTGTTGCTCCTGCGAGCATTTGAGATAGGACGCTGGAGCAAAAGCTGCACTCCAGACTGACACCATCTCGATGTTGCTCCAGAAGGAGAGAAACGTCCTTCCATTCTTTGGTCTGGCTCTTTTCCCAAACACAGATGGGCACTACTCTGCAGCTGATCAAGATGCAGTTGGTATTCCCAAGGAAACACTTCCCAAATGGGCGCCACTCTGCGTTACCGTTGCAGTCAATCAGGACACAGCTGGTATTCTCAAGGAAATGCGTCCCGTCTGCCAGCCTTCTCTTTAGAAATAGAGAGTTTGAACAGGTTTGGGAGTCCTTGTGCCAGTCTCCACAGCCCATTGGAGACCTGTGGGAGAGGCTGCTCTATGGGACAATTTTTGCCCCAGCGAAGTTTTATGGGGCGGGGTGGGGCGGGGCGGGGCGGGCTGGACAGGGGGAGGCAAGGCGGGCTGGACAGGGGGAGGCAAGGCGGGCTGGACAGGGCTCAGCACGCATGCCTTTCCATGGCTGTCTCCTGTAATCTCATTTCTCTCTTCCCATCCCTGTTTACAGGCCTGGCGGGGGGTGGGCGGGTGAAGGCCGGCCTAAGTATAGGGTGTTCACAGCAAGTGTTCTGGGAAACTGAGAGGGAGGGCAAGCTAGGCACGTCCTGCACCTAGTGGGGAGGGATACCTCTGTCCCCAGACAGGGGCCTGTGGCCTCTGTAATCCAGGCAGAACTAGGCAAGGGACTTTGCCCAACTTTGCGATCCCCTTTGGTGCACTGGGGAAACCCCAGTCTTCATCATCCAGGGAAGGCTATCCCCCAACCCCGCCATGGACCAGGGTTTTCTCTGCATTCTCAAGGCTTTGAGCAACTCCCTCTAGTTACAACCTCCCAAGAACCCTGCCTAGTCATCTGTGGGTGTGGGTTCCAGTCCTTCCTCTTTCATGGATTAATAGGAACTAAGAGAATGTAAGCCTTTCTTGATATCCATACCCAACTCACACTGTCCCCAGAGACAATGAGTACAGGACAAGAGGCCGTGGCAAGAGCGTCACCACGGTACTTGTTTTTAGTAGCCCAGCACTCCTTAAGGAAGGCCTCAAGGCTGTGACTGTGGTGACCCTGCCCAGCAGACACTCCTTTAAAACCCAGGCATGTGACTGCCACCCAGGACGCTGTTAGTATGGGACTCAATCTGATTTGAGTCATTTCTCGGGTTTTACAAGACTGTGCTGTGAACTCAGTTCTTGGTACTGTTTTGTCCTTGGGAAAGCACAAGGGTGAGTATCAAGAATCGTAACTGTGTTTGAACATGTGGCTCTTTTCTCCCAACATTCCAAAATGTTTCAGCAAACGGAGTAGCAGCTCATGTGATTCCTCTATTCCTGGTCCTCAGTATTTTCATCTCATGGCTCAGCATTGCTCCTTTTTAAAGGGGTTACAAGAAACAATATGCTGTGCTTCTCTGTTTTTGGTTCTTCTATTTCCCAAAGGCTCATCCACCTCCTGCAGAAGATTTGTTTACAAGGTCACAACTCTACAGACGGTGCTTTTCCCTCCGCCCCCCAGAAGCATCCCTCCCCTCCATCCTAGCCCAGTCCTGATTTTCTGCTCTGTATCTACACCCATCCTGGCTCTCTGGCCACCCAACTCTATGATGGTCTCCAAGTCCAGGGCATGCGAAAAAGCAGGTTACTGAAGAATCTGCTATTTGGCAGCTACACATATGGCAAGCCTAGGTCAGAGGAGGTGGAGTTAAAGGGACCCCAGAGAAGGCACTCTTCTCGAATGAAACCCCAACCTCCTCCCACATGCCTCCTAGGCTGGTGCTTCCTTCCAGTTAGTTCCTCCCAGCTCCTCCACTCATGGCTTGTTCTTTCCAAGACAAAATATCATGAGTGCAGAACCCTATGTGTCTCTTCCTATGAACTTGACTCTGGGTGGCACTACTTTTTGGAGACTGTACCTTTGTGGACTGGTATCAGGCATGCCATACCTACTATGTTAGCATCAGCACACACCTGTCATGACACATTCAGCAGTATATCCACTAGAGTATTTCTTCTGCCTGTTCAGAGGGACAGTACTGAACGGAGTACTTCCCAGCATACACTAAAGAGACTCCAGGACAAGCAGCAGAAGTGGCCCCTGCTGGAGTGAGCAGCCAGTCCAGGGAGCCCACCTTGTAGAATCTCCTTCTGATCTCCAAGTAGAAATCGCAGAACTTCACCCGATGCCAGCTTTTGAATGCCTGGCACTAGTAAGGTCTTCTAGGAGGGAACTCGATGCTCTGTAACCCCAGGCGTTGTGTATGTGTGTGTCTCTATGGCTTACTTTCATATTCCAGAGCCTCTGGCAAACAGCAGCACAAAAATCTTACTCCTCCACTCTGTCTGAACTAGCAAAGTCACAGGCATATATATGAAACTGAAGTATGAAGGACTGACTTCTCCACCCTTGCTTTTTATCGCGCAGTATGCAGGCCTGAGGGTGCAAGTACACCGTGTTTGGGTTTAAAGTTCTGTTTCAGACAATGCTTGAGGTACTGGTGGGGCCGGAGTGAGGGAAGAAAAATTGCAGAAACTCTGTTTCCTTTTCCTCCAATGTACAGTAGAGGGTCTGGGGCCCTTGATACTCTCTGGATCCAAATGCTACTGGGGTGGCAATGAGATTCTTCAGGTAGAAGCTTTGGAAGACGGTATAAC